AAATGAGGCCCACGATGCAGCAGGAGCACCCTTTTGGAAGGACCGACATCGTTCGGATGTTGGAAAAGCACACCTCGAAAAGGAAACAGCGATGCATGCCGAGGCCTGTACAGAGACTCCATACTCGGAAGGGGGGCAGCGCCATTCTCGGGAAGTCTTCGGGGGAGGGGGAAGAGCGCGGTGGAGGCCAGTCCACAAGAAACCTTCCACAAGAAACCCAACCCTGAAACCCCAGGACGTCCATTGGTTTTTGGTGTGGGAACGTCACGCTTTCCATGGCAAAACCACCGAAACCCAAGCAACCCAGGGTAACCTGGAGGCAAGCATGGTGTTTCTTGGCTTGGTTCTCCACTGTAAGCAACACCCCCCCCCGCCCCGCGCAATTCAAAATTGGCGCGTTCCTTGAAAACCACTCTGAGGCCCAAATTCGGAAGATCCCAAACCAACATTGCATGTGGGGGGAGAGGGGAGTTCAAACCATTTGTTCTGCATGAGTGTTGCTTGATTGTTTCCAACACCTGCAATACTCATATGGAGTAAATTGTGGGGGGTGTCATGACATGTCGCTACCAGACTTGCGCCAGGCACCGTGCGTTGCGCCTGAGCGCGACGCACACGGCGGGCGGCAGCGTCCAAAGCGGGGGCCGCTGGGCCACCGTGGTCTGGGACGAGGCCCTGCCTGATGCGCTGGAGGCTCCCCAACCCTTCTTTGCGATGGGGGCGCACTGCTGAACTGTGGAGGGGAGCGGAGTGGGAAGAGTGGGAGGGAAGCGGGGGAGCGGTGGGGGGGGGGGGGGGCAGCCTGGAGGGAGCCGGGACTTCTCTTTCGCACCTGGACGCCGCTCTAATCCTTGGTCGGAACCGCTGTCGCCCTCGTCCTCGTCGTCCTCCCTCGCCTCCGCCCCTGCCTCCCCAGAGTATCCCAGAGTCTGCAGCACTCTGGCCACATGTACAGCATCCATGTTGGCATGCAAGCTGCAACAGCTGGTAGCAGTCACCTAGCCTTCCCGTCTCTCACTCTCATTATCTTCCTCGCCTCCTCTTCCTCCTCCTCTTCCTCCTCTACTCCCTTTTCTCCTCCTCCTCCTCCTGCTCCTCCTCCCTTGGAGGGCGAGCTCCCTGATCTGCGAGACGTGCACCAACCCAGTGACGGTCGGGCCTGCGCGCCCGCGCAGGCGAGCAATGACTGAAGCGCGGCGCGAAGGCGCGCAAAGTCCTCGATAGCCGAACGTTTGGCCGAACGTTCACGCGAAGCACCTCCTCCTGTCATGAAGACACCGTTTTTACTGTTCGGTGGGCGTCGCTTCGTGGGGGGGCGAGAAATGGGGGGGGAAGACTGATGCAGTCCTCGGGCCCTAGGAGCCCCATTTAGGGGCCCTGCAGGGTCCCTTTAGGAGCCATAAATCCCACCAGCCCTCTGGGCGTCAGTGGTTTAGAGCGTTTCCTCTTCCACCCCTCCTTCTTCCCCTTCGGGGAAGGGTTTACCCCTCCCCCTACCCCCTCCCCACTGACCTGGACAGGAGGGGCGGGGAGCGGTCAGAGCGTCCAAAACGGCCTCGGCGAGGAAGCCAAAATCATTGATTTTACTATGGTTTGGGCCCCATTTTGGCCTTCTGAGGGGGCAACGCTAATTAAGGCTCCCCTCTTCTTTGATCGATTTCCTCCACGATGGCCGCAAGAGGCCCCCAGGATGCCCCAAGAGGCCGCAGGATGGCCCCAAGATGGCCCCAAGAGGCCCCCCAAGAGGCCCCCAGGCCCCCAAGAGACCCCAAGAGACCCCCAAGAGGCCCCAAGAGACCCCCCCAGAGGCACCCAAGGTGCTCCCAGAGCCCCAGAGGCCCCAAGATGGCCCCAAGAGGCCCCCAGGAGGCCCCAAAGAGGATCCCGAACGGCCCACAGAGGCCCCCCCGAGGCACCCAAGACGCCGAAAAGCCCCTCAGGACGACCCTCTACTCGCCTGGGCGTCGTTTCTGGACGGGCTGGTGGGGATACGCGAAGCGTCTAGAATAGCTCCTTTTTCTGCAGCCCTCGCTGCCCCATTTACCGCCCCTCCCAATTACGCTACGCCCAATTTCCGTTGTTCGGCGATAATCTGGGTTATCCAGTGGGGCGGGGAATGGGGAAGGTGCCAGTCGATGACATATCCTTTTCGCTCTGGGCAGCCCCCACGTATGCTCACGCGCACCAGCGCTGCGCAGCCCCTTCGGACCTGCGCACCCGACAAGGTTCGGCTATCGGGGAGGAGGAAAAAGGGTGGGGGGGCGGACCCGATGGTCCTGGGTATCGCCAGACCCTAACAAAAACCGTCTCGAACAAACTCGCGACAGGAAAATGTTGGTCGCTTTCGGCATCGGGGGGGCCCTCGCAAGGCCTCGAGACCATCAAAACACGACTCAAAGTGAAAAACCGGTCCCGGGTCGGGGATCTTCTGACCCGGGTCCATCCAAACCCGGGTCAGCGAAGCTGAGTAGGATCCCGGCGGATCCTGCAAAATCCTGCTGGATCCTGCACCCAAGCACGGGTCAGTGCACCCCTAGCTCCGCAAAATCCTGAAAGATTGGGGATACCAACAAATGCCAATACCGCTACTCCCCGGACCTCTCCTGGGGTGCGTTTTGACCAGGACTTCGAGGCGAATCCAGCGGTGGCGACGACGGAGGCCCAGGAGGCCCAAAAAGAGGAAAACGAGGGGAGGGTAGAGGTATAGGGTATGAATACCTTTGCCTCCTCTGAAAGATCCCGCGCTCTGACTGACCCCGTTTGCACAGACCCCCGTCTCTTGGGCCCCGCGCGACTCTTCTCTTTTGTCTAGGGGGCCACATGCGAACCCTACCCCCACCCGCCACCATTTCGGAGGGGGAGGGTGGGGTTCACTTCGCTCGGGAGCTCTCGGACGATGTGAACCCCACCCTCCCCCTCAGAAATCGTGGGGGGTAGGGGTAGGGTTCGCATGTGGCCCCCTATTTGTCGACCCAAAAGAGGGTCCAGCGACAATAGGGTGGTGCAATAGTGTTGCAAATGTATTGCGCCAGAGAATTGGATTGAATTGTATTGCGACGAATGCATTGCACGCGAAGATCCAGCAATACATTTGCGCCGCGGATTGTATCGCACGCCCCAGATGTGTTGCAGCCCCTCAGATCCATTGCACCACCCCCCGTCGCTGGACCCCCTTATGGGTCAACCCGACTCTCGGTGCTCGGCCGGACGTCGCCCGCGGCCGCGTCGCGCGCTGGCTGAAGTCATCCCAGTTTTTTCGCCGGGGGTCGTCGCCCGCCGCCCGCGGCGGCCACTCTGCGAGGAGGGGAAGGCAAGAGGGGAGAGGAGGGGAGGGAGGGGAGAGATGGAGAGAGGAGGGAGAGGCGGACGAAGGGAGGGGAGGATAGAGAGGGATTGACTCTCGTCTCAAGGCCCTCGACCGAGGAGCGGGCCCAGACCTCTGGGGGTCCCAGGGGTCCGCGAGGGCCCGCACGGGAAAATTGAGGCGTGGCTCCGCGCGGGCGCGTGCGGATATGCCGTCTGCGGCAAGCAGACGAGGGCAGTCACATTGGCAGTAGGACGGGAAGGGAGGGAAGGGAGAGACTCAGGAGGACAAGAACAGAACGAGGGTTTGGATCGGAAATCATGTCAGATTGGTGCTTCCCCCTCCAGAAAATCTACAGGGTTGGCTACATTGGAATATCGTTGAGTTCGATCAATTCGCTGGAAGGGAGAAAAGAGAGAATCACTAACATTCTGGAATCATCGGCAAATGTTCCCTAATATTCAGAATCTAGAAAGGGTTTAGTATCATTCTGCAGTGATCAGCAAGAACTCGTTATCGTTGAATCACGGATCGGATTATGTTGTTGAGCCCAAGTGAATGGTCGTAGGGAGAGGTTAACTATCATTATGATCAACGGGGGTTCGTTATTCCTGAAAATGGATTGGAACGGATTCATTTTCATTGCGGAACGATCCACAAGGGTTCGCATGTCTGGAAATATGGATTGGAATGTGTTCCCAATCCAGGTTGTTCCACGGGGGAAAGGGGGGAGATCACTGTCATTCTGGGATGATCAACTGGAATTCAATATTCGTGACGAACGGACTGGGTTTGATTCTTTAACTTGGGTAAGTCGCAGAGAGGAGGAACACCATTAGTATTCTGGGATGACCAGCAGGGGTGCGCTAGTCTTGAAGAATGGATCAGGCTACTCGCGGGAGACGGAGAGACAGAGAGAGAGAGAGAGAGAAAACATCAACACATCACATGTTCATGATTCACGATCACTTCGGAATAATCAAAAGGGCTCAAGCAATACGGGATCGGCTGCCGCGTGCGGCGATCCGCAATCTTCGGAAAGTCCGTATCCATGTGCGTATCCCCCTTCTGCTCCTCCCTCCTTTTGAAATCGGCTGACGGACTTCTCCTAGCGCGGGTTCTGAGCAAGACTTCAAGGCGCAGCAGGCAACAGAGCCGTACATAAGATCACATAACAGAACAGATCACAGAGAACAGTACAAGACAACGCAACACATAACTGTGCGAACATAACGTCGCAGAACAGCACAGAACATGACAGCACATAACAGCACCGAACAGAAGAGTGCGGAACAGAAGTGGACAGATCGAACGGGGCAGAATAGAGCAGAACAGCACAGGCCAGCGCAGAACAGCACAGGAAAGACTGTCGCAGAACAGCAGAAACACCAGGGAGCAGAAGAGCACATCACAACGCATAACACAACAGAGCACAGGGAACAACGCAAACAGCGCGGAACAAAACAGCACAGAACAGCATGGAATATAACGAAACATAACAGGATGATCAGGAGGGGGAGGAGATGGAAGACGAACAAGACGAAGGACATGTAAGAGGATGGATCATAACAAGTATTTTTCAATACCGGTGTGGCGCCCTTCGTGCTAAGCCAAAGCGGCTACGGATGCAGAGCAGTTCCTCCCTGATCCGTGCCTTAAAAATCTCATCGATGATATGCACGGTGCCTTGATAAAATTACAACGGGCGGAACCAGTCTGAACAGAACTGCGCAGGAGTTGTGCACAGAACCGAACAGAACAATAGCAAGCAGAAAACGGAGCGAAGCTTCCTCGCGACTCGTGTCCAGAGAAACTTCAAACTCAAGTTCAAGTGAGGGGGAGCCTGCAGAAGGTTGGTCTCCTTACTGCGCCCCGAGCGGCGCCAGAGCACCGCTTCCCTCCGATTCTGGAACCCATGCAAAGAACCAACCCGACACAGATCCAGGGGTTCAGGGACCTCGAGCCAGTAGAAGCATGAGGCGAACTACGGATCTTGCGTACGAGGAGCGGGGAGGGAAGTAAGCTAGATGCGGGGTTGTTCGAATGTGCTGATTCGCGCACAGCACACGTCGCTGTGACAGCGATGCTTGCGAGGATGTTGGCAAAGAGTTCTTTCCAAGTGTGCCAGATTGCATTCGACAATCACCCAATTGCCAGCGTCTCTGCCAGGATATGAGGAACTTCGGTCCGAAAGTGCGGGCTCGCTTCCAGCATACACTTCAGTGCGAACATTTGTCTCTTCATAGGCATCCCACTGCAGGGCCCGCCCTTCTCCCCTCCATTGGAGAAGCAAAGAATCATTGGACAAGAAATCCAGAGTCAGGAAACTGGTGGACGTCCCATCGTGGTTTGGCCATGTAGTGCACTGCCGCCCCCATCAGATGAGGAACCCCCCGGGGCCTGAAGCATCCTGGGCATGCTTCTCAGCCAATGCCCCCGAGTGAGTCCAATCTGGATATTAGAGGCCTCCTAGATGGGGTCGGAGTAGAGGGGGTCGGAGGATCGCGCCTTATCGCCGATGCATCGGCGATACATCGGCGACGCATCTGCGATGCATCGGCGATGCACCGGCGATGCATCGTCGACGTCGGCGATGCATCGGCGTCGCTGACGTGAAGCAAAGCGGGTTGCACATCGAGCCGCATCGGCGATGCGGCGCGATCCTCCGACCCCATCCACTCCGGCCCCATCTAGGAGACCTAGAGATATAGAAGTCGCCCCTTGGAGAAATGACGAGTGGCCAAGACGCCGCACCCCCAACAAACAGGAAGCTCACACGAAGCTCCTCGAGGGGTGCTGACCGCTGTGCATATTGGACTGGCGGCGCGCCCGCGGGCAGGCTGGGAGGGCAGGCCTCCTCGCAAGGCTCGGCGGGGAAGGGGGCCCAGAGGGACGCACAAACGAACTCGCCCAAATCCCAGGATCCCCCACATTTTCTCACGTTGTGTTGAGTTTGATCTTCCCCCCAACTTCCCATGCTTCTCCCAGACATTTCTTCCAGGGAACCGACGATGCTTCGCGTCTGTGTCTTTACCCCTCCTGACGGAAGGCCTCTGGCCTCCTCCGGAGCCGCGGAGGGCTCTTCCCAGGAGGCCGGAGGGCGTCCGCGGAGAGCCGCCGCCCTCTTGAGGAGGCCTGCCCCTCTCAGCTCCACTCCTCTGCGCGCCGCCGAACTGCGAATTAGCGAGCAACGGGTGTGTGCCCATCTTAGACGATGGAGAAAAAACGGCACAAACATAAAACTCTTGCCGCTCCGCGCAGATTTCTCGGATCTGCGCTGGAACCCCCTCCATGGCGCGCGGAGCGCGCCAGGGAGGGCCCCAGCTCTAATCCAAGAAATCCGCACGCGGCGCCAATTGCTTATGCGTATGCCGTTTTTACTCTTCGAAATCTTTGGCTCTGGCCTAAATCTGCCGAGGCCGTAAACAAATCGCGAACATGCCGCCGACCAATAGGCTGCCGCGAGTCAGCAACGGAGGAGAAAAGAGGAGAAGCAAGAGGAGCAGGAGAAGAGAAGGAAGAGAAGATGAACGTGCCGTGCCGTGCCTCCTCCTCCTCCTCCTCCTCCTCCTCCTCCTCCTCCTCATCATCATCATCATCATCATCATCATCATCATCATCATCATCATCATCATCATCATCATAATCATCATCATTACCATCATCGCATCATTACATCATATCAGCATATCATCATCATCACCTTCTTCATCATCACCTTCATCATCAGCAGCAGCAGCATCAGCATCAGCATCATCATCATCACCACCATCACCATCACCATCACCATCACCATCACCATCACCATCACCATCACCATCACCATCACCATCACCATCACCATCACCATCACCATCACCATCACCACCATCACCACCATCACCACCATCACCATCATCATCATCATCATCATCATCATCATCATCATCATCATCCTCATCATCATCATCATCATCATCATCATCATCAGCATCAGCATCAGCATCAGCATCAGCATCAGCATCATCATCATCATCATCATCATCATCATCATCATCATCATCATCATCATCATCATCACCATCATCTACTCGAGCCCGCTTACTATGATTCGCGATAGCGCCCGTGACCGACCCCGCCGCCCCCCCCAGAAGAGGCCGCTTTCGGATTCGGCCCGTTTCGGCTCTGGCCCGTTTCAGCTTCAGTGGTCTCTTTCGGCGGCAGCCCATTGAGATTTCGGCCCGTCTCCTCCTGGCCAATTTCGGCTCCGGTCCGTTTCGTCCCAGCCTGGCCCAAAGCCCGCTTCGACCTGGCCCGTTTCGGCTTCGGCCCGTGCCGACTCCACCACGTTCCGGGTTCGCTCTGGGATGGCCTGGGTCGGATTCGCAGCCCGCCGATCGTTGTTTGCAGTCGTTGTGGCGCCTGCTCGGCCCATGGTGCCATGAAACTGACCAGCGAGTGCATGGGACACCCGGCCAGCAGAACTCCTCCATCAAAGCCCCCGTCCTCGTCATCTTCGACAGGCGTCCCGAGCGCCAAACCTGGGAAATCCCGGGGGGGGACTGGCGGGTTGAATAGGTAGCGGCGGCGAGCGAGGGGGGAAACGAGGAGGAGGCCTGCTCAGAAGGCTGCGGGTCTTCGCAGAAGCCGTCGCGCCTTCCGAGAAGTTTTTTGCGTCTTCGGGGAAGGCTCAGAAAACTTCTCAGAAGGCCCAGGGACTTCACAGCCTCCCGAGAAGGCCCGCGCCGTCTCACTTCCCCCAGGGCTAGCCGAAAGCAGAGGTTAGCCGGGATCAACTTCCACCCCATGCCCCCTTTCACCCCAACGTAGCCTTCCGTCCCGCTCCTCGTCCACCCCTCTCCGCTTTCTCTTACTGGTCCCTCTCCCCCGCCCGTGCCAGTTCCCGCGGAGGCAAGCGGATGCGGCGAGGGAGAACAAGAAGGAGAAGAGAGAAGGAGAACAGGAAGAAGAGGATGAGGAGATGTAAGACGAAGAAAACGAGGAGGGGGGCCACAATGAGAAGGCTGAAATTGGCTGACATCGAAAATGGAGCGAAGTTTCCTCGCGACTCAGATCCAGCGAGACTTCAAGCTCAATTGAAAGTGAGGGGGGGCCCAGGTTCCCGTGGGCCTGGTGGGCGTGCAGAAGGTTGTTCTCCGTATTGCGTTCCGGGCGGCACCAGGGCACCGCTTCCCTCCGATCCTGGAACCCATGCAGAGCAGCCACGTGCCCTACACTGATCCAAGGGTTCGGGGACCACAGGAGGAGGGGGGCAAACAGGGAGTAGGGTTGTCCGAATGTGCCGGTTCGCGCACGTCGCACTTCGCTGCGCCAGCGATGCTTGCAAGGATATTGCCAAGGAGCTCTTCCAAGTGTGCCAAATTGCGGCGACCGAAGATCATCCCATGGCCAGCGGTTCTGCCAGGATATGAGGAACCTCAGTCCGAACGTGCGGGCTCGCTTCCAGCACACACTTCAATGCGAACATGTTCCTTTACATCAACGTCCCGCTGCAAGGTCCGTCCCTCTTCCATCCCGTGTCATTCCAGCGGCAGCGCCCCTCCCGTGAGCTTCGTGAACGTGTCGGCTTGACTGCACTTCACGCTGCCAGCGTTGCGGCCAGGACGCGCACGCCAAGCGTGCCAGCTCGCATGAATCGCGCATCGAATTGCCAGCGTCGCCGGCAGTAAGCTCACTCCGAGCGTGCCTGCTTACACGGCAGAGCTCGTCGCACTACCAACGATGTTGCCAAGAAGCTCATTCCAAGCGTGCCTGCTCGCGTGCGGCGATCATCCCGCTGCCTGTGCTGCTTCCAGCGAATTCAATCCGAGTGTGCCAGCTGACTTCCGGCGCGCATCTCCTTGCCTGAAACTTTGGCCAGAGTTGGCTGGGTGGTAGGCGAGCGTAATCCCACCAGCCCTTTGGGCGCAGGTGGTCCAATGGTATCATTATTTCCTCTTCCCAAGCTCTTTTCCCTTCGGTGAGGGGTACCCTCCACCTCCCCTCCCTTAGTTTTTCGGCTGGGGCCGCGATGTGTCAGAGGGTCCTTTTTCGCCCGAGATGGCTCCAAGACAGCCTCCGATGCTCCAAGATGGCCTCCAAGGCGGCTCAAGATAGCCGAAGATGGTTCAATTTCGTTTCCGACATATCTCAAGGAGGTCCAACGAAGGCCACAAGACTGTGACAAATGCTCTCGGAGACACCTCGGGAACCTTCCAAAGAACCAAGAACGGATTCGTCCCGGCTCGTTTCAACTTCGGCCCGTTTCGTCCTGCCACGTTTCGGCTTCGGCCTATTTCGACCTGGATCGTTCCGATCTTGGACCGTTTCGTCCTGGCCCGTCTCCAGCCCGTTTCGGCGTAAACCGGGTTCGGCTGCCAAATTCACGCTCGCTCCTGGGCCGGGAAGCGAAACGGGTCGAAGCCCAAATCGGCTGAAGCCGAAACGGACGGAACCGAAAAGGGCCGAAGGCGAAACGAACCAAAGCCGAGACGGGCTGAGCCGAAACAGACCAAGGCGAAACGCACGGGACCGAAACTGGCTGAGGCCGAAGCAGGCCGAAGCCAAACCGAGCCCAAAGACGAACCGGGAACGAAACCGACTCGGGCCTTTGTCCTGCTACTCCGAGAATAATGGTTGGGATTGGATTCCCAATCCAGCTTACTCCTTGAGGGGAAAAGCCACTATCATTTCGGGGTGGTTATTAGCGGTTCGCGACTGGTGAATAACGGATCTGGTTCGATTATTGAACCAGGGCTCGCCGGAGGACGGGGGGCTTTTATTCCCAAGCGGTGAAGAAGGGCCCCATGGGTCCCTGTGAATCCTAAGTGCGAATAGTCAATATATGGAGAGACGGACAGGATTTTGTCGGACAAATGAGCAGGGGTCCACTGTCTGCTTGAAATGATGGCGAAGGGGTCCTTTTTCAAGGAGAATAACGAACAAGGGTCATATTTTTTTGGGGAATCAAATGTTAGTCAATCATTATTTGGGATGATAAACGCAGGTCCGTTACTCCTTCGGGGAAGCGGACACTGGTCCATTATTCCATAAGGGTCACGAGCAGGTGTTAATTGCTCCTGGGGAATAAAAATGAACAAGGCCCCGTTATTCCCGAACCCCCAAAAAGACATGGGCACCGTTGTCCCTGGGAAAACGTGACGGGTATGTGTTACCCCCCCAGATTCATGAACACGGGTCCGTTCTCCCCGTGGAATAACAAACAAGGGTTCGTTAGTCCCAGAGGTTAATGGACACGGGTACTTTGAGAATAAGGAACAGATGTCCGCAATTTCCGGGAGTACTGGGCAGGGTCTAATATTCACTGGACAAATGAGGCGGTGTCCAAAACTGGTTGGGAACATTGACAGAAGTTCGTTGCTCCCTGGAAATATTGAACAGGTGTCCGTTACCCCCTGGGATCTAGTGACACGGCCCTTTATCCCCTGGGAATTACTCCGACGGAAGGACCCCGCACGACAATCAGCCACGAATGCGATGCCAATCCTCGTCGACATCCTTGTGAACGCCGAGGTCATATTCTCAACGCCCTTCTACTTCTTCGCCCGAGCGGAAGCCCTCCTCTCGCCCCGCGATATATCACCTTGTCCTCTTGGCCCCGCCCCCCATCCACCTCCTCTCCCGCCTCTCTCGCAAGCGCGCGCAAGTCGACGTTCCTTCGCGCCGTCGCCGCCTCCGCCAGCGCGCGCGTTCCGACGGCCTGATCGCGAAGCCGTTGAAAGAACCCCACGGGCTAGGCCGATGGGGCAGCCCCGCGAGCCGCTGGGGCGCGGGGGCAGGCCGTCGGGACACCCCCCACAAGTCTCGAGCTAATCGCGGCCGCGCCCAGCCTGGATGCGGCGCGAAACCGAACTCTGCCGCGAGCTGGTCCGCCCCAGCCCTGGAAACATCCGCTCTCTCGTCGGACTCCACTAGCGCCTTCCGCGAGGACGCCGGCGTGTTTCGCGCGCGCGTGGCGCGCGAGAACAAGACGCATTGGAGATGCAGCCAACGCTGCTCGTCCGACATGCCCGTGCGACCAGCGCCCTCATCCCTGGCGCAGCCGACGGCGACGCCATTGCGCAGCGTCTGACCTTGCGGCTGCGCGGAGGTCGCGTAGGACGCGCGCGTCAGGGTGAACCCCGAACGGCGCACGACGTGCGGCCCCGAGCTCTGCCACGTGAGCTTTTGATCGCTGGGCCTGAACGTGAGCAAGCTCCTCGCCAGCGCCTCGGCTTCGCCGTCGTCGTCAGCGCCTTAGGCGCCCTGTAGCATCAGCTCGGCGACCTCCTGGTAGATCGGGGAGTCCTCGAAGCCGTGCGCCTGCATCCAGACTGCTTGTGGTGGGAAACGAAGGCGAAAGAGCTGGCCCGCCGCGCACTCGTAGTATTCCTGCTCGTCGTCTGGGTGTCCCCCGTTGCGTGAGTGTTCGGGAACTTCGGGAGGAGCCAGCCCGCGTCGGGGTCCGCCGAACATCGTGTTGCACTCATGTGGGCGCTCCTCCTCTTCCTCGTCCTCTTCCTTCTCCTCCTCCTGCCCCTCCCCGTGCGCGTCCCAAAGGATACGTGCCGAAACACGACCAAAGAAAACACGCCTCCTCCTCTTCCTCCTCCTCCTCCTGCTACTCCTCCTCCTCCTCCTCCTCCCAACAATGATGACAGCTACATCATCTGAATGCTCCGCTCGGATTCGAACATGACTTGCGGACCCCACAGGGAGGTGCTCCCACTCGAGACTCCCTCGCGATTCAGTCACACACAGGAGACTTCCGCTCGAGACTTCCTCCATATTGAGGCCTGAGGAGCCCAACAGTGACGACAGTTACAAGATTTGGATGACTCGCTCGGATTCGAACAATAAAATGCGGGCCCCATCGGGAATGTCTCCCGCCGGAGACTTCCTCGCGACAGCTCGGATTCGAACATGGAGGTGGGGACCCCATTGGGAGGGGTTCCCGTTCGAGACTTTATCGCGATTCGCCCACGGACGAAGCTCCCGCTCGAAACTTCCTCCCTATTCAGGCCTGACGTGCCCAAAGTGACAACAGATACAAGTTTGAGGATGGCCGCCTAGGACTAAAAACATGAGCTGCGGGCCCCATAAGGAGAAAATCCCGCCTGAGACTTCATCGCAATTTACTCACCGACGAGGCTCCCGCTCGAGACTTCCTCCACATTCAGGCCTGAAGAGCCCAAAAGTGAAGACGGTTACAGATTTGAGGATGACCCGCTCAGATTGGTACCATGAGCTGCGGGCCGCACAGGGAAGGCGCTCCCGCCTGAGACTTCCCTGCGATTCAGTCACAGACGAGGCTCCCGCTCGACACTTCCTCCATATCCAGGCCTGGGGAGCCCAAGCGTGGCGACTGTTCCAAGTTTGAGGGCGACCCGCTCGGATTAGTAACACCTATTTGCGGGCCCCACAGGGAGGGAGTCCCGCCCGAGACTTCCTCGCAATTCACTCACCGGCGAGGCTCCCGCTCCAGACTTCCACCGCATTCAGGCCCCGGGAGCCCAACCATAACGACATTTACAGGTTTGAGGATGACCCGCTCAGATTGGTAACATGATCTGCGGACCCCATAAGGGAGAGGGCTCCCGCCTGGGACCTCCTCGCAATTCACTCACAAACGAGGTTCCCGCTCGAGACTTCATCCATACTCAAGCCTGGGGATCCCGAACGTGACGACAACTACAAGTCTGAGGAAGAACCGCTGGGACAAGTAGTATTATCACCCCACCAGCCCTCAAGGCGCAGGTGGTCTAACGGTGACTTTCTTTCCTCTTCCAAAAACCCCTCTTCCCCTTCGGGGAAGGGTTTATCATTATTCCCTATTAATAAACACCCCCTCCCCCATCTGGCCGGCAGCCAACCCAGAACCATGCGGGCACTCCCCCCACGCCATCCCGGTGAAAACAATACAAAATGCACATTGCGGGGCCCACCCTGCCAACACCCTCCACAATCCCAACCGAAAAACAATACGAAGTGCACATTGCAGCAAAATGTGGACAGTGCGCTGGCGCCTTGTGAGCACATTGTACTATTTTGCTGACAATGATGGCGGGGCACCCTTAGTGAAGCCGCTTTGTGCAGGACCACCATCCGTGTCAAAAACAATGCAAAGTGCATGTTGCGACAACGTCGTGGGTACTGTGCTGGCCACCGGCGATCACTGTGTAGTGTATTTGACAGAGACGGCGGTGGTGCCCGCATGATGCTCGCTGTGCGAAGGGCCTGAACACTGATGACGCCACCCCACATCAGCATCTGGACCATGCGGACGGGGGGCATCACGTTTTTCACAAGGATGGCACGGCATGTGGAGCCCGCGGCGAGCGTCGCGCACATGGCGTCCGCTTTGGTTCCCAAAGGCTGTCCATCCAGTAGCGACCCCTGGCTATGCCGAGACTCGGATGCCACCTATGTGGCGGGAAGGCGGGTGGGAGTGAGCTATACGGCTTGCATCCGGAGAGGGCGTCGGGTGTTTTGACCCCTCTCCTTACCCCCTCCCCTGGACCTGGACGGGAGGGACCCTCCCTCCTTTGATCGACAGCCTCGAAGATGGCCCCAAGAGGCGATCCAGGGCTACCAAGAGAGCACCAAGAGAGCCCCAAGGAGGCCCCAAGAGGGCGCCAAGAGGGCCCCAAGGGGCACCCGAAAGGCCCCCAAAGAGGCCTCCGAGCGGCCTCAGAGAGCCCAAGATGACCTCCAAGATGGCTCGGATAGGCCAAACTGGCTCAAGATGGCTCCCAAGATGCCCCCAACGGCCCCAAGACCGCTCCAAGAGCGCCCAAAAGCGCTCCAAGAGAGCCCCAAGAAGCGGTTTGCCGGCTCCTGAGAGGGGAGTTGAGTTGGGGACCCCCCCATCCTGCAATCGATGGCCTCCTAGATGATCCCAAGAAGCCTTCCAGGGTTACCAAGAGGATTCCAAGAGAGCCTCCAAAACTCCAAGAGAGCACCATTTTCTGATCGCGAGCGCAAGCGAACAAGCCGCGCGCCGTCCAGAGCTACCGCTAACCGGCAGAAGCCCAAATTCGCACCTGAGAGAAGAGAGAGGAGACAACGGAGGACAGCGGGAGGTGAGACAAGCCAGGGCGGGCCGCGTCGCGCTCACAAGGGGGGTGCCATCGGCAGCAGCAGCAGCAGCAGCCGGGGGTGCACGCCAAAATGGCGATAATTGGTTGGCACTGCGGTGTCCCGTGACCGCGGCGAGGGGCAACCCTGCGAGGGATAGCGGGCCGCAAGCACCCGTGCCAGTCCAGGGGGCAGCACGCGGTGGGCTGAGCGGGGCAAGGGCTATGCACCCCAGCAGGGGGTCAAGCCTTCAGGTGCGTCGAAGCCCGTGGGGGTGGCGGCGGAACGAGTGAGCGGCGACTGGTCAGCAGCGCGCGCCGCGGGACAGGCACGCTGAAAGCAGACTGAAGGCAGTCAGCCGCGCGGAGACACGAGTGAATAAGCCAGCTGGCATGCAGGCGTTCGACGGACGGGAACCCGGATCGCCAGGACCGACAGGACGACGGAGGTGTCGGATCCCGCTCGGGAAGCAGAAGGGAACGCTACCCGCACGGTAGGGGGCGAACCGAGAGGTAGGCGGACCCCAGGCGGACCCCACGCGAAGCGTGAAGACTTTGCTGGCCACATAGAGAGGGAGCCCCCGCCTGAGACCTCCGCACAATTCACTCACAGACGAAGCTCCCGCTCGACACGTCCTCAAGATAAGTGTGTGAGTGAGTGTGCGTGTGGCAGCGTGCGATTATGATGGTGAGGGTGCTGCTGTTGCTGCGGCTGCTGCTCATGATGAGCATCGGTGATCATGATAGGGGTGGTGACTTTGATGATGATGATGTGATGATGATGTGATGGTGATGGTGAACGTAAAAGAAGAGTGATGATGGTGATGAGAATGATTATGATGCTGATAATGACGACGACATGTGATGATGCTGCTGATGATGGTGGTGATGTCGATGGTGCGACTGTGATGGTGACGGCGATGGAGATGTTGATAACGATGATGATGATGATGATGATGATAATGATGATACTGGTGATGATGGTGATGGTGATGGTGATGATGACGCTGATGATGGTGGAGATGATACAATGGTGGTAGTGATGATACTGATGATGATGGTGATGCTGGTGATGATAATGATGATGTTGATGATGGTAATGATGACGGTGGTAATGATGATGACTGATAACGCTGATTATGATGATTGTGGTGGTGCTGATGATGCTGATGGTGATGATGGTGATGGTGATGGCGGTGATGAGGATGCTGATGCTGATGCTGATGATGATGTTGATGATGATGCTGATGAGTGCGTGAGTGGGGAAGAGAGGGGGTAGGAGGAGGAGGAGGAGGAGGTGGAAGAGATCCTGCGCGGGGGGGGGGCAGAGAAAACAAGAACCCATCTTTGAATGTGGGAACAAATGGACAGGGGTCGGTGTTCTGTGGGAGTAACGAGCAGAAGTCCACCATTCCCTGGGAACGTTGGACAGGGTTTCATTCTTCTTGGGGAATAACGCACAGGAAACAATTATTCCCTGAAACAAATGGACAGGTGTTCGCTACTCCCTGGGAATGTTGGACAGGGGTCCATTAGTCCCTGGGAACAATGGACACGGGTTCCTGATTCCCTGCGGAAAATGCGCAGGGGTCTTCCACTCCCTGGGAATAACGAGCAGCGGTCCGCTACTCCCTGGGAATAATGGACAAGGATCCGTTACTCCCTGGGTCAAAATTGGCAGGGGTTCAATACTCCGTGCGAACAGCAAAGTAGGTCCATTACTCTGGGAATAACGGACGGAGGTCTGATATCCCTGGGGGGATTGCACAAAATTCATTACTCTCTGCGAATAATGGCCACAATCAATGATTCCGGAATGGTGAACCATTTTTGGACATTCGGGAATGATCAGCCGAGGATTGCGAATAACTTGAACCCCATCCTGGCCACTTTAGTGACTGGCTGCAGATAAGACGCGCCAATGGAGGGCTGCATCTGTGGCAGCATGGGAGAAGCGAGGCTCATCACTCCATCTGTTCGTCGAAGGAGTGGGCAACGCTCAAGCATGAGCAGGGGAACGTGCGACGGATCGGGTCGCATCGGCACGAAGTCCGAATCGAATCGGATCGGCCGCGCCAGGATGCAGAACAACACCATGCATAAATCGGGCCTCGTTACTCCTGGTCTGATCTCTCTCCCTGAACCTCTTCTGCTCTGGGATTTTTTCGGGTTGGGGTCCGCTGCTGTGCGGCGGAGGATTGGGCTCCCCCTCGTGCCTCTCCCAGCCCGGGGTCCCCGCCCCCGCCTCGTCGCGGCGCACCTCGCCCCTCTGGGATCGGGGGCCGGGGTCCGGTTGCGGGCGGGGAGACGAAGGGCGGCCTTTTCGGCCTACATGGAAAAGAACGCCATATACATAAACTGCTGGCGCTTCGCACGGACTTCTTGGATCTGCGCTGGACCCCACTCCCTGGTGCGCGGAGCGCTCCAGGGGCGGCGCTGGAGGCGCCGCTGGGGGGGCCCAGCGTGTATCCAAGAAATCCGCGCGGAGCGCCAAAAGCCTACGTGTATGCCGTTCTGCTTCTTCGATGCATCCCTATTCACCAGTACCAATCCATCGGGCCTCAGAGCACTGGGGCAGGCCGGAATCGGTATCGAATCGGACCGATCGGATCGAAAAAGGCCCCTGCAGTGGCGAGGGCCAGAACGCCTGCCGGTTGTCTTGTAGGGCCCGTGTAGCTTTCTGGGGGCGACATCGGCCCTCACTGCAAGCGCCCCCAAAAAGATCTCCCCCACCAGGGGGGCCAAGACCGACCCAAGAGAGCTCCAAGACCGCCTCGAGACGGCTGCAATATGCCCCAAGCTCAGCTCAAGACGGCCCCCATCAAGCCCAAACAAATCCAAAAATCCTCCCAAGAAGACCCAAGACGGGAAGCCCCAAGAGACCCAGAAGAGGCACACAGGGAGGTATTTGTCGAGGGCCTGGGAGGCAAACGAAGTTGAACGCGTGTTGGTCTCCCAATGACGTTTGCTTTCAATGTTTTCCAACCTAAGGTGGCCTCAAGAGCGCCCACGACAGCCCCAAGACGGCCTCAAGACAGCCCCAAGACGGCCCAAGAAACCCCCCAAAACGACGCAAGTCGGCCTCAGAACGGCTGCAAGACCCGACCAACGGGCCGAAGATGGCTCCGCCGCGCCGCTTCTGGAAAGCTCGGTAGAAGCATCGCGCCCAAGACGGCCCCGAGACGCCCGAAAATTCTCAGAGAAAACACCAAACCACCTTCGAACGGGTCAAGGAGGAGAAGAGAGGGAGGAGGGGGAGAAGGAAGAGGGAGGAAAAAGAATAAGGACGAAATCCATGAAGACAAGGAGGTGGTGTCTATAAGGCCCTCACCTAGTTGCACAGGGCGCTGAATTGGAGCATCCTCATTCCTGCTGCGTTACTGCGCTGGCATGGTGGCGGGGTTTGCCGCAGGCAGCTGGATAGAACCTACTGGCGTGGGAATGCTCAGCTTCGACGCGAGACTGCTGCTCCCGAGGGACGAGGCCAGCTGCTCCAACATGCCCACGGCGCCACGGCTCCGGAGAGGGTGCAGAGCAGAAACACGCGCCGCCAGTGCATCACATCGCGCCGCGCTTGGCCATTACCTGCAGGACCTTCATGTTGTAGTGGAACTCGTCGCGGTCCCTGCCGTCCTTGAAGAAGAGGCAGTGCAACGTCTCCTCTGCGGGGTCCCCGAACACCAGCAGCAGGCACTCACCGGTCGCGCTGGCGAGCCTGGGCGCCCTCTTCTTGAGGCCCTCACCCCGCACGACGGACCTGAGGTCTTTCAGCGGGATCTCCTGCGGCTTAGACAGCGCGGTCCGCAGGGTCAGTGTGGTGAGCTTGTCGTCGATCCTGATTCCTCCTCCTCATTCCTCCTCCTCCTCCTCTTCCTCCTCCTCCTCCCCCTCCTCCTCCTCCCCCTTCTCCTCCTCCTCCTCCTCCTCCTCCTCCTCCTCCTCCTCCTCCTTCCCCCCCCCAGTGGTGATGTGATGATCATCAGTGGCGTGGTGTGTGAGCGTGTGTGTGAGAGAGAGAGAGCGTGAGAGAAAGAGAGAGAGCATCTCGTCGATCCTGAAGAGGCACTGGGACAGAAGCAGGCTCTGCACGTCGCAGAAGAAGACGCACAAGCCCTGCTGGGCCTTCTTGACGAAGGTGCGCACCTGCTCGCTCAGGCGCTCCGACTTTGTGCTCGTCATGTCCCCCCCAGACGCCTCGTCCCCGGGGGAGCTCCCGGGAGAGGCTGCCCAGCCGGTCGGCGACGCATCGGCCACACCCCCGAAATGGCACGGCACGGGGAGCTCCCCCTCCATGATGCACGGGGCGCTGCTGGTCGGGCTCCAGCGCGGGAACCTCTCGTCGTCAGCGATCTGCTGCGAGTCGAGCTCTCCCGTGGACGTGCACTCCTGGGGAACTTTTTCTTATTCCTCCCACGTGCGTCCGTGATTGGGGGGGGTCTGGCCGCCGTGGGGGGGGGGTAACAATAACGTGGCGGGCTCGGGTATGGTACTACTAAAAGAAATAGTGGTAGCAACAATACCAGCAGTAGTAGGAGTACCGGTAAATGCCATGAAGACGACAAGGACGATGACGACCACCAGCGGCGACGACAACGACAACGACAGCGCCAACGACGCCGGACGCCGACGACGACGACGACGACAACGACTGGCCAGGATGGCGACGACGACGACCACCGGCGACGACAACGACCACTGGCAGCGACGACGACGGCTGGCGGCGACGACGAATAGTAGCAATAGAAATACATGGGAATCGCACTAGTAGTAACACACAATGGTGCTAGCACAAGAAACTGTCGTAGTAACACATTGAATCGCAACAATACTAGTAGCACTAGTGGTACCACTACCACTAAGCCGCTACAGCAACTACGAATGCCACTTTTGATACAACGGCTACGCCTACAACGCCTCCTCCAAGCGCAAATAGTCCAACTAAAAATCGTATTACTTTTGAATGCGATTGATACTAACAGGGTTGGCCGCACTCCGTTTGCACATTTTTTGGTGGAAAGGACGGGGGTGGCGGTAAGGATTTTGCCTGGCGGACGCACGTTCGAATGCATATATATATATATATATATATACATATATATATGTGTATATATATGTATACATATACATATACACACATATACAAATTATAGCCATACATATGTATACCGATCTACAAACATGCAAACATACATAGAACCAAGTATACATACATAAATACAAATTATCCCAGAGCGACCCTACCTAGGAGTTGGAGCCCCGAGGAGAGCAATATTAGTAGTAAGGGTAAACGCCGTCCTCCTCCTTCTCCTCATCGTCGCAGTTGTGGCAGTAGCGGTAGCAGTAGTAGTAGTAGTAGTAGTAGTAGTAGTAGTAGTAGTAGTAGTAGTAGTAGTAGTAGTAGTAGTAGTATAGTAATAATAATAATAGTAATAATAGTAATAGTAGTAATAGTAGTCGCAGTAGTAGTAGTAGTAGTAGTAATAGTAGTAGTAGTAGTAGTAGTAGTAGTAGTAGTCATAGTACAGCTTAATACCTACATCTACATCTAGACCTACATCCACATCTACACCTACAGCTAAATCTACATGTACACATGCATATACATCTACATCTCCATCTACGTGCTCTACATCCACATGCATCTACATCCACATGCATCTACCTGTACACATGCATCTACATCCACGTGCTTTGCTTTGCTGTTGCTGCTGTTACTTTGCATTTGCTTTGATGCTATGCTATGCTATGCTATGCTGCGCTATGCTATGTTATGCTATGCTAGGGTATGATAGGCTGCGCTATGTTATGCTAGGCTATGCTATGCTATGCTATGATGCGCTATGCCATGCTATGCTATGATATGCTGCGCTATGATATGCTATGCTATGCTATGCTATGCTGCGCTATCATATGCTATGATAGGCTATGATATGATATGCTATGCTGCGCTGTGCTATGCTATGTTATGCTATGCTGCGTTATGCTATGCTATGCTATACTATGTTATGCTATGCTATGATATGATGCGCTATACTATGATATGCTATGTCATGATATGCTGCGCTATGCTATGCTGTGCTGTGCTATGATATGCTATGCTGCGCTGTGTTATGCTAATATATGCTAAGCTAAGCTAAGCTATGCTATGCTGCGCTCTGCTGTACTATGATATGCTATGATATGCTATGCTATGCTGCGCTATGCTATGCTGCGCTATGCTATGCTATGTTATGCTATGCTATGCTAATGCTGCGCTGCGCTGCGCTAAGCTGAGCTAAGCTAGGCTAGGCTCAGCTAAGCTAAACTAAGCTAAGTTAAGCTAGGCTAGGCTAGGATGAGATAAGCAACGATAAGTTATAAGGAGTCATAGCTGGGGGAACCACGGGGCGGATCCTGGGGGAACCGCCCGGGGCGAGGACCACTGCCCGGCCCCTTTAAGAGAACACAGTAAGAACCCTTCTAAGGTAGGGAACGCACATATACATATATATATAATATGTTTATATACATATATAGTAACATCAATATATATATATGTATGAAAACGTGCTAATATCCATATGCATATTTATATATAATTGTATATATGTAGGCAAAATGTGGAATAGCCAGCGTGGGCCCCAAACGATGTGTTTCTAGCCACTGTTGTTGTGAAGTCTACGTGGCGCAATATAAGTGGTGCAAAATAATACGTTGTGCGTTTGTTTTGTGGCGCAACATATGAAATCCACGTGGTGCAACCTATGCGGTGAACCTATGTTGGGCAAGGGATGTGCTGCAGTCTAGGCGGTGCAACCGGTGTGTTGCAATCTGCGTTGCGCAATCTATGTGGCACAATGCATGTGGTGCATCATTTGTTGTGCAATCGTTGTGGTGCAACACACGTTGTGCACTCCAAATGGCGCAGTCAATGCGGTACAATCCATGTTGTGCAAACTATGTGGTGCAATCTAAATGGCGTATATTGATGTATGCAATCGATTTGACACATCCCATGGTTTTGCAAACATCCCACCCACCCACCCGCAACTTGGTTTGCAAAACCCATGTGGTGGCGATTGCGATGAGTGCCTGGCGTTGGCTGGTGCATGTCTGCGACCGCGCCAACCCAAACACGCGCGAGCAGCGGCCAGGTAGTTTGGCGCGACCGACGCGGCCACGGTGGAGCTGACCGCTGGGCACATCCCATCAGGCACTTCCATGCGAGTCGGCGACTTGGGCGGGCGCGGTACCCACGCAACGTCGACACTGGTAGACACGATGATGATAGTAGCGTTGCTAAAGACGATGTTGACAACGACGACGGCACGGCCAGTGACGGCGCCGATGCTGATCACGCCGACGACGATGACGGCGTTTTCGCGTCGGTGATGGAGGTTTTTGAAAGAGTTCGACATGTGCGCGCGGCCGACGCGCGAGTGACCCGCATGGTCTTATCCGACTCGGATCGTGCCCCCCCCCAGCACGCGCGCAATGGCGTTCGAATAGTTCCGGCAGGCGGCACGCGAGGCCCGTTTGGAATAATCTCATGAAACAGTTGAGAAACGCATGGGTTTACAAAAAATATCAGCAAGAGCGCGAGCGCAGGCTTGTTTGAAAACTGATGTAGCGAAACCGTGTATTTCTATCTGGTTTCGGGGCACTCGGTTGGGGAGCCCCCACGAAACCTAAAACATATGTTGCTTCATTTCGGCACGCGCGCGCGACAACGCGCGCGCGTGCGCTTCGCCCAATCGTTCGCAGAAGATTCTGTCGACAGCACGCGCGCAAGGGCGCTCGAATGATTTCGACATGCGCGCGCGAGGCCCGTTGGGTAGCACTTTATGAAAGCGCTGAACCCCCAAAAAAACAAAAACATATTTTTGGGGGGAATTCGCAAGAGCGCGAGCGCAAACTTTTGCTGAAAATCCTCGTTACGAAACCGTGTAGTTTTCTGCGTGCGCGTTGGTTGCTCGATTTGGGGATTCTCACGAAACCTAAGGTTTTTCAAAGATATCAGCACGCTCGCGCGACGACGCGCAAGCGTGCACTTCGTCCCGATGGTAAAGGAGTGAGCGCGCATGATTTTTTTTTGCAAGAAATGACAGGGGGTGCGACGCCGGTTCCCTCGGGATGGTTTGAATTCGCACATGGAATGGACGATGGGGCAGAATCGCACGCAACTTGCAATGCAAGCACGGGGGGGGGATCATGCGGGTAGAATCAATTCAAACAAAACAGAATTGACTGTTCGCAGTGACTGGCCACGTCCACTGCCCACGCAATCGACCCGCCCACCCGCCCGCAACTTGGCTTGCAAGGCCCACGCGGCGGCGACTGCTCTGACTGTTCGGCATTGGCTGGCGCATCGCTGCGGCCGCGCTAGCGCGCGCAGGCTCGCGCGCAGAACGGCCAGCTTGTCCTGCGGCGGCGTTGACCGCGGGGCGCTTCCCCGGCGCGTCGCGCTGACCGCGCCGGCGCGCGGGCACTTCCATGCGAGTCGGCGACTCGGGCGGGCGCGGCGCCGCGGCAACGTCGACAACGGCCGACGCGATGATGATAGCAGGGGCGCTAGTGGCGACGACGACGACGACGACGACGGCAAGGCCAATGACGGCGCCGATGCTGACCGCACCGACGACGACGATGATGGTGTCCACGCGTCGACGATGAAGGCGTTGGAAGGATATCGACATGCGCGCGCGGCCGACGGGCACGAGTGGCAGGCGCGGCATCATGTGCAAAGGAGCGCGCGCACCTCGCCCCCACCCGCCTCCAGCGCGCGCGCAGGGGCGTTCGAATGATTTCGGCATGCGCGCGCGAAAGGCTGGTTTGGGCGCATCTCTGGAGCGCGTTGAAAACGCGCGTCGCTTCCGTGCGAGATTAGCAAGAGCGCGCGCGAGAAAAGTTTCCACGCGTTTTCGGGGCACTCGATTTGGGAATCCTTGCGAAGCCTACGGAACTCGCCTGATTCGGCATGCTCGCGCGTCGACGCGCGCGCACGCGTATTTCGCCCCATGCGTTGCAAGGGGTTCTTGGACGTGGATGGTTTTTGAATGCGCGAGTGGGCGCGCAGATTGTCTTTTGTAATGGACGAAAAGAGGGGGACGATGCCGGTTTGGCGGGGTTCCTACCTATTCATATTCAGAACCGTCGATGGGGCAGCCCCACGTGTAAACTGCACGCCTCCAGGGGCGCCGATGATGGGGGGGTCGATCTTTTTCTTTGTTGAACGGAAGATCTATGCAGTGGAACCTACGTTGCGCACTCGATTTGTACATGCGAAGTGGCGAATCCCATGCTCGTGAAAACATGCCACCCACCCACCCGCAACTTGGTTTGCAAAACCCATGCGGTGGCGACTGCGATGTGTGCTTGGCGTTGGCTGGTGCATCTCTGCGATCGCG